AAGCAACACTGTTTAAGAACTTTATTTAAACATTGAAAGTAATGAGAAATCTATCTTGCGCAGCAAATTGGCCTGTTAGAATGGTTTCGGAAGGGTTGTGCTGACTTCTTACTTGAGTAGGAAATCATAAAAATTTAAAATAATAATTTTTAAATTTTGACCAAAAATGCTGCAAAGATGTAGAATAAACATATTTAGCGTGATGTTTCTTTATTTCTACATGTCATTATTCTTCTCAATCTCATTATGTTCATCTTTGTAACCACGTACAGAATTAAATTGAATTTTCTAATGATATTTATGAAGTTGAAATAATATCAATGTTTATTTGAGTCTTTTATTTTATTTATTATGCAAAACAGTTGAAACTTATCCAGTTGAATTGAATCAACTGACTTGGGTTAAATTATGACAGTTAATAATTGTTTTTAGGGGTGTTTTACTTTTATTAGGATAGAATAGTGGAGACTACAGACAGGATTACAGACAGACAGTGCCGTTTTTTGTTGAACTTCGTAATGTTATTGACCAGAACTTAAAGGGATGAGGAACTTTATAGAAATTTAAGAAAAAATGTCCTAATAGTCACCTAATTGAGCTAATTATAGTCTCAAGTTCATGTTATAAATTAGTAATTAGCAACACCCCCACCCAAAAAAAGTTCTTGCTGCCTTCAATTTTTTAGATGAGTCAAACTAACTTTAGTCATCTGAACTTACATCAAACTGACTTACAATATTAAATTAACTTTATAAAATTTAAACAGTCGAGTTGAAACCCAATAAGCAGCATAAAAATATTTGTTGTCTAGACTTGTTGTCATTACTTTTTATGCAGTGTGTTAATTATTATTGCTATTTCTAACATATGAACTGAGCAGACAAAAAAAGCTGATTTCAGAACTGCCATTAACATAGTTATTACTCTCTGAGGCATCATACAGTAGTCATTAATGAAGCAGCCAGCACCCCATGCATGAACACTACTCCTCTATTAAAGGACTATAAATAAAGATGACTTGACTTAATGATAACCATACACCATACAGTCTCACACAGCAATTAAACATCAAGCCCCAGACTGATTCATCAACAATAAATGCTTAACCTTTATCTCCTGTGTTGGGTCTGACTTCATTTTGGATTTCACCTTAACTCTGAAAATGAGGTCTTAGGAGGTCGTAATAGAGATAAATCGAGTTTCCCCCAAAGCATCGATTTCAGTACTCTCCAGTCTCCTCACTGTCTCGCTGTCTTCTTTGATCACATTTGGGAGAAATTACTGGTGTAGATTTGTCCTGAGGATTTGTATATTGCATAAAAAAGAAGAATGACTGTGTGAGTTTCCCCCTTCGTATAGATGCAGCGTCTCCAGCAAAAATAAAGGTTTGACTGCTGTGGGAAGTACAAGCTAGATGAAAGAAATCATAATGCACCAAACTTCTGTTTGAGTTATACACAACATGTTAATAGATGAATGGTGGGAGTAGGACAAAAGAAAGGCGAGAGAATGAATCGAGTGAAGATGAAAACTTTTGATTTGCGTCCAAAAAACTGGGTGAGGTGAAATCTGAATGGGACAAAGGGAATTTGTTTTATTTTATGAACTCAAAGGCTCTTGCAGGTAACTCCCGTCTGTAGTCATAACTCTTGGAAATGATAAGAGAGGCATTTTAAGGTTTTGTCAGTGTTCATTGTAGTCTGTTGTGTTTTTGCAATGTGGTTTGGTAGCCAGTTCTGACACGGTCAGCGAACCAAATTGTTTCTTTAAGGTATTAAATTTCTCCGTTCACCTCAGATGTTACCACAAACACTTAAAAACGTCTCACTGTGTGCACTGCATCTGGCAAAGAAGAACCTGGGAAAGTATTTAGTATGAATGTAACACATATTTCAGGTCTCAAACCTTGGGTCTGCTAACACTTTCCTGGGATTTGAGTGAAAGGGCCAAAACCTCACAAGACCGGCCAAGACCTAATCGAATCCAACTTATCTATTACAGTTCGGACAAGAGAGCAGATACTTGTGGCTTTGAATCGGCATCTCTATTCTTTTCAATTGACAAATTACAGAGCTATGTGTTGTTATTGAGCCACACCTTTCAGGTCTTTCAAGTCTTGGTTCAAGAACATCCCAATCCCTGCAGGCCCCAAGAGCATTAAGCTTTTTAAACAGTCTCAGAAAGCATACATGAACTCATTCAATTTCCTTCATAACCACAATGTAGTCCCCCCACCACAAAGGTCAGCCACTAAATGAGTTTCGTCTTTAGCTGGGAAAAGAGGATGAGGAAGGCTGGAGTGCTGCGGTTTCCTCGCGAACTTTTCCCCTCTTCCACATGAAGGAAAGCCCATAGTGTTTAGGGAGCGTCACGTTGTTTTCTTTCACGGTATACGGAAGGAGGGGTTCCCTCGAGACTGACCAGCATGGCGGTTTGAGGGCCTCATGGGAATGACAGTCGGGTTTTGCTAATGGACTGAATGAAATACGGCGTGCCTGGTCGGGCCGTCACACACAGCTCTTTATTCAGAACACAGTCAGAGGACATCAAGTCAGTCATCCACTTTTGAAAAGTCCCCTTTGCCACAAGAGATCATATCAAGTCTATAAAGCTTAGGGAAAACCCATTTGAGTCACAATAGAGATTGTTTTGCTAAACCAAGTCCTAATGGTCTTTAATGCCTTACAGGCATCATTACCAGTCAATGTAGTTAAATATTTATTGATTTACGGCCTCAAATTAACTTGCTTTTTTTCTAGTTACATTTATTCTTGAATTCTTAATTGGCATTGATGGTTCATGAAGAACTTTTAAAGTCTGTGAACCAAAAGTTGCTGAGACTTTTATTTCGGTATGATGATGTACTTCCAAGGAAAATTGACCATTGAGTAGGGGGAGGGTGTTTCTTTTTGTGCATCATTTTTTCATAACAAAGTAATGGCAGAAAGGCATGGTTAAGAACATTGAGGCTGAAGCCATCAAACTGACATCAACAGAGAAAGACCGCCACTCAAAACACGGATCCGATTGGTCTGACTTTGATTTAAGATTACTAAAAACAAAACAAAAAATTCTGTGGATTAATTGCTTACCTAAAGTATAATAATGTTCGCTAAATGTTCGACCCTTGATTAATAAAGGAACTAAGCCACCAAGAAAATGAATAAATGAATTAAATTTTTATTATTTCAAACAAATTTGCAGTAATCATTTTTTAATGAAAGTACGAAAACATGTTTCTGCCAATAAATAAGCTTTCAAAAGACAATTGCTTTAATTTTTTTCATAAATTTAGTTTGCATAATTTAATTTTCACATTATTTTTCAGAATTGAGTGATATAGGTTTTGATTTTATACACGTTATAAAATCAGTCAGAAAAGTCAGAAAAATTAGGTCATAGATTTTTGTTTTTGGTACTAAATTTGGTTAATTGTTAATATGGAATTGAATTGTGTGGTATAAACTTACAATTGCAAAAAAAAGTTTTTATATGTACTGTAGAGCATCACAGTGGTGCAGTGGGTAGCACAATCGCCTCATAGCAAGAATGTCGCTGGTTTTGAGCCTTGGCTGGGTCAGTTGCCGTTTTTGTATGGAGTTTGCGTGTTCCCCCCATGGGTTTACATGGGTTTCCTCCAGGTGCTTAGGTTTCCCCCACAGTCCAAAGACACGTGCTATAGGTGAATTCAATTAGTTAAATAGGCCTTAGTATATGAGCGTGAAAGAGTGTGTATTTCCCAGTGTTGGGTTGCAGCTGAAAGCGCATCCGCTATGTAAAACATATGCTGGATAAGCTGGCAGTTCATTCCGCTGTGGCAATCCTGGATAAATAAAGGGACTAAGCTGAAAAGAAAATGAATGAATGAATGAATGAATGTACACTGTAAAAACATTTACTGTACTTTAAATCAACAGCAAGTTGACTTTACTTCAAAAAAGTGAGTAAACCATTATGACTTCATTCATTCATTTTCCTTCAGCTCAGTACCTTTATTCATCAGCGGTTGCCTGAATAAACCACCAACCTATCCTGCATATGTTTTACGCAGTGGATGCCCTTCCAGCTGCAACCCATAACTGGAAAACATTCATTCACATACATACACTACAGCCAATTTAGTTTATTCAATTCACCCATACCACTTGTTTGGACTGTGGGGGAAACCAGAGCACCCGGAGGAAACCCACGCGAACATGGGGAGAACATGCAAACTCCACACAGAAATGCCAACTGACCCAGCTGGAACCTGAACCAGCGACCTTCTTGCTGCCACCGTGTTGCCCTAGTTGACTTAGCTTAATTTTTATAATTATGACCATTTGTCTAATTTTTTTAAGACAACAAATTTGCCCACTTTTTAAGTAAAGTCAAGTAATCAGTTTAAAACCAACAGATTCACTTACCTTTTTTCCTCAACAAATGTTTTTTTTTTTTTTTTTTTACATGTATACAAGATCCTACTGACTGGCACATATCTTGCACATAACGTACAGTAGATGTTTGCTGCTCATTCCTTTTGGAGAAAAGTAGTGCAGACTACTGTTTCATAGTGTGTTTGTGCATGCCATCGAATGGTGTGCACTTTCAAAAGCTGTGTGTTTGACTGCACATATGTTACTGCTTGCATTAAAAAGTGAAGTATACTTTGGACTTAAGAGTGTAAAAGGATCTTCAAGTTTGACTGTGGGGATATTGGGGTATGTTTGGAGGAAATCAAGCCAAAGCAAGAAGCATCCCATCTGTGTCCATTTAGGCAATAGTTTGGTCTAAACAATAAAAAAAATAGATGAATTCTGTTTGGAAAAGCAGACCGGAGTTGGAGCTCAATCCAGTCAAGAGTATCCTCTTGAAACTCCAGTCCCAGATGTTTCCTCAGAAAGGGGATAACAAGGTTTAAACAAAGAAATAGGCCAAGTCACATGCCAGAAAACTGGTCCTTACATGCCACTCAACAGAGTTTTCAGTCTTTGGTAAGAAAATGTTGTTTTATTTTACAGTGAGCTTTTGGAAGATCTGGAGCGCAGTCCGCATGCGGCAGCCATAGCAGAGTGCTTTGTGGAGAGGGTAAGCATATATTAAAATAAATTAAAATACACATTTTTCTTAACTAAAACCTTACCAGATGCCACACAATCCACATTTCTCAAGACGACAAATGCACATAATACAAGAATTGTTTTGTTAATCTCTTTAATACTAGAAATGAAGAGGCTGTCATTTTGACCATTGTTAAATTAATTTTGTCATTTCATAGCTTTCTTAATATAACACCCATATATTTTAACTTTAGCACTACGACTTGTCCTAAATGCGTGTATATTTCTTTTTACACATTGTAATTAATGTTACAAAACACAATGAGTTCTGAGTATTTTTAGCTTTAATGGCCAAACGATTGAATATGAGTCTTTCAATATGAGTGCATCTGTTGCCTAGCAACTTCCTGCTAACAAAAACACAACTCTGATAGCAAAAACACTTTAAGCCCCAGTCAGATCACAAGTTGTACTGCCTGTTAAGAAAGTCCCTATGGCAAATTATGCAAATTTTTAAATTTATTTTATTTTTATAAAATCTTATAAAACCGACTTGTCGTGGGTAACATCTGTCAGACTACACGTTCCTTCTTGATCAGTCATCTTGTGACGTCTGTGATGAGCGTTATTTCCCAAAGCAGTCACTAGTGTTCCTATAACAATATTTCTTATCTCAATTTCAATTTGTTTTATCTTATTTCAAACTCAATAAACATTATTTATTTATAATTTATTAATAGTTACATTATTATGATTATGAATAACTTATTTCTTTTTAATATTAAGATATTTTCTTTGAAATCTAAGGGGGGCTTTCACACCTACACTTTTGTTTCGTAACCTTTCTCGCTTGCCCAGTTAGCACGGTTCGTTTGGCATATGTGAAACCACCAATCGCTCTCTGACAGGTGACAGAAATCATCATGAAGAATGAGGGAAAAAATAAAACATGCTAGACTTTCTGCGATGGTTTCATGAGGTGTTGCAGACATGGTATCAGTTGTCGTGAACTATGCCACATTACGCAAGAAGAAACGATTAAATCTTGTGTTTTGACACCCATTTGTCGTTTACGAATCCCTTATGACCCACAACGTCAAGGAAATCATGCCAAAATCGTGTGATCTGACCGGGGCTTTACTTACTCCAAACTTTTAAAAATAGCATTTTCACTGCAGCGAAAAAATGTCCCACCTACTGGACATAGTGAGGTGCAAACCTTTATAGGCTTATACACAATTATAGGCTATTTTACTGTAGTCTATAATAAAGACCATACAATAAAAACCTGCTGACCTGCTTTACTCGTAATGTCTATATGTTAAAATGTCCGTGCCAAAAGATATATAAATATAGGGAAGTCAACAAGTCAGTTGAAGTTGCAAATTAGTGAACATAAATCAAGTATATGACCACAAGATATAATTTCAGCAGTAGCAAGACACTATGGATTTCAGACATGATGTTAAACAACTAGAATCTATTTGAATTGAGAAAGTATTTGAGTCACATAGAGGAGGTAATCTGAATAAAAGATTATTTCAAAGAGAAGTGTTCTAGATTTATAAATTAAAAACACTTACACCAAGAGGATTTAATGAGGAGTTGGACCTTTCTGTGTTTCTTTAATGTTTTTTTGGGTAACACTTTATTTTGATGGTCCACTTGAGTATTAGTAGACTGTTTAATATCTGTTGATACTGCTCTTTCAACAAACATTTAACAGACTTTAAGAAACATTGCAAGTATATGTCTTACACTAATCCTAAATGTATTTTTAATGTTTTGGACTGTCTGAATTTCATTGTATTGACGTAGACTTGATTAAGTGAATGGTGATAACTGATATGTTATTTTACTGTACAATGGAGATAATGCTTTTAAAGGTGAAGGAAATAATTTTGTGTGGTTAATTACGATATTTAAAATGAAAATGAGATTGTTTTTACTATTAGTCATCTAAATAAAAATGTAATGTGATTAGAGGAAGGCTTTGTGCTGAAACATGTCTAATAAAGCTATAAGTACTTATTTATTGAGGGTATTTTACAACAAAACATCATATTTTTAGGTTGATGACTTCATAAAATATGACAACAGACATCCAAAGCTTAATTCTAAAATATCAATAAAAGATTTGAATGTAAGTGAATTTCATTTTGGTCTTATATGAACTCTCAAAATGACTGCTCTGGCCATTCTAGTAGTTGCAGAATTCTTATAGTTCCTGTGTTAATATTGTGGCACTTACTTGGCAGTATGGCAGAAACACAAACATGCTAGAGCCAGAAAACTAATGGAACGAGCAAATCAGCAAACAGTGTTGAACTTTTTAACACTTACACACGTCAGCTAAGTGCATTTCCAGACAATGTTGGTGCTCTTGTCTCCCCACCACAATGACACAACAAAGAGCAGCCCAGACTGGGATGAGATTCAGACAAGGACATTATTGTTTGGATCGGTAGAGAGCTTCAGCGTGCTCATGGCTTTTACTTTAACAATTTGTTTCATGGTTTAGGCTAGAAAATGAAATCACATTTTACCTTTTCAGAGGGTTTCTTAGTATCTCAAGCAACAAGAGCCAGTGTTTACCTCCTGCTGAAACAGCTACTGTTAGAATCAATTTGCACCAGTTTAGGAAGCAGAGAGTACATTCGATTATGCCATTACCGGCCAGCTATTTTGAGGTTTCAGCTCAATTTAGCCTCCTCAGAGCCTCCTCAGTTGTTTCCCATAATATCAGCAGCATTAAAAAAGTCAGACTTGTTCCAAACGTGTGCTTCTAGATATCAGGCTCCATTAGATGTGTTTACATGCTTGTAGAGATGAAGTTCAGCAACTGTAACTCCATATCTGGTAAGATCTGAGAGTATTGGCCAATGCTAGAGGAGATGATGGGGTTCACTTGATTGGCTTGTTCTGCTTCTGTTTTTGGTACACAAACATCTAGTGGAAAAATCTCCCTCATACTGCCAAGTGAATGCCAGTCTAGATTGCGCTGTTGTTATTTTTTTCTGTCTGTAGATATTTATATTTTTGTCTGGTTTTGTAACGCCAAAATCATTATATATCTCAAGTATATCCCTATACTTTAACAGCAAGCGATGTCCAAAATAAAAAAAAGTCTACTTCTGTTGATATGAAAGCGCTATTATATAATCTTTGAAGTGGTTATACTAAAAAAGGTATGCTTATGTATATCCTTTGTTTGTTTGTTTTTAGAGTGAAGCTTTTGACATTTACACCATATACTGCATGAATTACCCCAAGTAAGTGAAGAAGATTTCTATTTCTATGATATGATTTACAATGAATTCAAAAGGTCTGCAAGATTTGAAAGAAATTTATACTTTTATTCTGGCAAAATCAATAAAATAGTTTAAACAACTAATTATTTTAAAAGATTTAAACATTTCGAAGATTTCTATTGAAAACAAATGCTGTACTTTATTTTTACTTAATGTTTTTCCCACATAAACATTGATAATGATAAGAACTGTTTCCTAATTAGAATAATTCCTAAAGGATAATGTGGCTCTGAAAACTTTGAATCACAAAAATTATTTACATTTAAACACCTGAAAATAAAGTTATTTAACATTCCAGTATGATTTCAACACTTGAAAATGCTGTGTTGAACTTTAGTTGTGTTTATCCAACCTAATCCAAATTTAAGTTGAATAAACACCGATTTTTGAGTGAAATATCATATTTATGATTTTAAACTTATTAAATGCTTAAACCTCAATCATACTGTTGAAAACTCATCATCTCTATTGCATATTGATCCAAGTGTGTAGCGTTTTTGTGGACAGAGTAATTAGATTCATGTGATGTAGAAGTCAGCCGCAGTGATCTACAGTCATGTAAGATATTTCTGAAGAATGACGATGTGTGGTTTTAATTAGGCAATGTTAGCTATACATCTAGTGGAAAAATTAGACATATCAGAGGCAGACATGCTTGGGTGATGAGTACTTGGAAATACTTTCAGCCCCTTCTCTTAGTATTCCCATGAGCCTCTGGTACAGCAGCAGCAACAGATGTTCTGCTACAGCTGATTTCGATCCACCTTCAGAGAATTAGTTGTTGCATATTAATACACAAAATCTAAAGCATAGGTCTCAAACTCAATTACTGGTGGGCCGCAGCTCTGCAAAGTTTTGCTCCAACACTATTTAAACACACATGATCCAACTAATTAAGGTGTTTAGTAGTCTTGACCACCTTAATTAGTCGGATCAGCAGTGTTTGATTAGGATTGGAGCAAAACTGTGCAGAGCTGCGGCCCTCCAGGAATTGAGTTTGAGACCTATGATCACTCTAATATATTAATTTACTCTACCTTTATTTGTTAAATACTTGTTTCAGTTTCATTCTACTGTTGAATGAACTCTAAGACAGAACAATTCAGGTGAATAGGGTAAAAAATAAACATAAAAATAAAAAAAATTGTTATCAGATTATTGATTGATTGATCGATTGATTATGCAATTAACGAGTTATGTGAGCAGTTCTTAAGTTACAAATTTATAGTTTAAAACTATGGGAATGGAGCCTTATTTTATTAAATATATAAATAATATAAAAATCACTTTCAATAGGTGCTCAGCCAAACAGCAAAAAGTGAAAAAAAGAAACTCCAAAATTGCTAATTTATTAAATTAAAAAGGCTGATACAAGGCGTGTAACGTTACAAACACACCAGAACTAACTCATCAAAGTGTGTTACTCTTTTTTTATACACTGTATACATTCAATCATTCATTTTCTTGTCGGCTTAGTCCCTTTATTAATTCGGGGTCGCCACAGCGGAATGAACCGCCAACTTATCCAGCAAGTTTTTCGCAGCGGATGCCCTTCCAGCCACAACCCATCTCTGGGAAAACACTGTATACACAAATTCTAATAATACATCACAAAATTAACAAAAAACAAGCAGAATAGCAAAGAAGTACAACAACATGTAGCCAAAAAAAAACAAAAAATATCCATCAAAATCTGAACACTGGATAAAGTCTTATTTTATTTTTTGGCATCTTAAATTTGTTTTACAGAGGATATTTGGTAATTTCTTTTGTTTAGTAATTTATCTGGCAGTTTTATCAAGAAATTACATATTAACATATCCTCCTGTAAAATTTTCAGAATACACTTGAATAAATCTAAAATATGGTGTATGTACTGTAAGTGCTGTATAAGAAACATTTAAAAGTCGTCATTAAATCAATGCTTACTTACTGTATAAACCCTCAGTATGTAGGTTTGCAACAAGTATGTAAAATACCAGACTTTGCTCTCCATTAGCTGCACAAAAACAGTGTCTGCACTGATATTTGTACAGTAGGTTTTCAGGGCCATCAGCTGAATACATTACCGCAGGCCTTATGATGAGATGAAGTGCTGTCAGGCAAAGCTGCCAAAACTGATGAATCTCCCAGTAGAACACCCTGCTTAAATCTCTTCCTCTCTGTTTCCGTTCAGCTCAGTGACCGTCCTGCGGGACTGCATGAAGAACGAGAGCCTGGTGCGCTTCTTCCAGGAAAGACAGGCCACCTTGTGTCACTCGCTGCCTCTGGAGACCTACCTGCTAAAACCAGTGCAGAGAATCCTTAAATACCACCTCCTGCTGCAGGTACAATGGCAATGCTGCCAATTGTTAATGTAAAAATATATATCTGTAAATTAACAGCTTTACCTCTTTTTTGTAATTCATTATTTTTAAATTAAAATTAAATTAAGTTAAATTAAATTAAAAATGATTTTATTTTAATTTAATTGTATGCTTTTAAATTACATTATAGGACCCTGAACTTCCTAACAACTTATGATATGAAATGTTTAGAAAAAGTGTCTTTTATTGACATTTTAAATAGTTTGAGCTTAGATGATATATATTATTTGTGTTGCTGTATATTACAGTAAATAAAAAAACTAGTAACAAACTGCCAGTATATTTTTCTGTTATTTTACTCACATAATTCTCGATATACAAAATTTATTTAACAAAATATTGTTTGAAACTACTAACTACCTGTTAGTCAGTTGAATTTTCAACATAAAAAGTCAACAGAGCAGAAATGAAGGTCTCATAATACATTTCATAACCATAACAAACAATCGAACAGAAAACTCATGTAAATCACAAAATACTGAAACTTTTTACAGTGTAGCTCTTTTTTGTTTCCATATCAGCATTGAAGAGCTGAGTACATTTTGACTTTCTTATCTACATGGGGTTCAGAGTATTGAATGTTTATAGACAATCATTTTTTTAAGTTAGGGCAGTAGAAAGATTGAATAAAATATCTGCATATTAGAGAGAGTACCACTTTTATTTTTATAATTGTGCTGAAAGCTTGGCTTAAATGGTTGGTCCAGAGTGTATTTTTAGGATCTGGTTGTGTTTATAAAATGCAAAGCAATGTGTGTTTTTGTAAAAGATAATTCACATTGTATTTTCATATATCTTATTCTGATTATATACAGCAAACATGAGAACGACATATTTCCTAATTCCTCTAAAAGGCCCGCTTTCAAGAGGCTCTGATTGGTCGGCTAACATAATGTGCTGTGATTTGCTAATTGGCTCCACGTCACCAGGAAAAGCATCACGCCTTTAATAGCATGTGCTTTGCCATTGTGTAAATAATTTCAGTCAGAGTAGCTGTTAGCTGTATCAGTTTGTGCCTGAATCAGACAGAAAATGAAACAGACACAGCTAAAGCTCACGCCTGCTCTCTAAAATAAAATCTGATCAGTGTCTTTCATTTATGTTCGGATTATAAGCATGTGTAAGTAATATGAAATGTTCACATATCTTTTGTGAGTTCATTATTTGAGAATTGAGATGTAGAACAGAGGGAAAGTGCCCACATAAAGAGACACTGCAGTGCTGGTGAAGATTGTGGCTGTTTACAGGGGTTCGAGGGATAAAAATGAATTTGTTTACATGCTTGTTTACGTCCTTGCTACAACATACTGTTAACGCTAGAAACTATGCATATAATAGATCAATTTTAACAAATAAAAACACTGAAAGTGTTGTCTAATATGGTTGGAGCTGCTTCTTTTTTCAGAAGTTTAGAAGCTCAAATACAGAAACAGAACAAGCTTGTTGAAATAGCAGCGCTTGGAAGGCATTTTAGCCTTCTCTGCTATAACATTACAGCCCCTTGGCCACGCCCCTTCGCTGCACAGGGATTATGCAGCATGGTGTTTGCACAAAACCGGAAGCGTTTGTGATCTCACTAGCCCAGATGTACTTTTTGTAGTCCTCAAACTTCATTCGCTTTGCTAAGCTAACTCTGTAAAAGCCAATGTCTCCCTTTGCATTGAAACATGAGCGTATTACATTCAGTAATGTTGTTTATGTTCACACAGCTGTATTACACATTAACTAAAGTTTAAAATATGATATCATAGTGGACCACCCCTTTCAAGAAAATCAATTATGTAATCATTGATTTGATTTATTTTTATTGACTATGGTGTATTGCATGTCTGTAAGTGTATATTGTACTATTTTTTAAACTAAATATTGTTAATTTTGTTAAAACATCCTGCCCAGAGACTACAGATGTCAGTTAGCTTAATAGTTAACTCTGGCACAATGTGTCATGTTGTAAATTGTCCTGTAAATAAAACAAATAAATTAAATACATTTTACACTTGTGCAAAATAAATATGTGGTTTTTGTTTCAATGTTTACTTCAAAAGAATTGGGAGTAAAATATTACAACATGCACCATGGGTGGGGCTTTTTGTAATATCTGATGGGCAGGTTGTAACATAATCTCATCTAATAAAAAATATATAAAACAAAAACTTATATAGTTATAAATACATATTTTCTCAATACGATTAAATTAGTTGCTTTCAAAAAACGGATGCTGTTTTTTTGTTTGTTTGTTTAAGAATTTAAAATGTTTTTTTTTTTTTTTTTTAGCCTGGGCCTAGTCTAACTGTTCGCAGTGCACAGTAATACAGTAATTAAAAACAAAGTTAGCAAATAGATGAAGAAAGACGTTCAGAAATAGAATAGAATAGCCCAGTTCTAATAACAGTGAGGCACATTGTAATTCATTGTTACAACATTTCCCATCTGCTCAACTGGAATTTAGATTAATACAAATTAGTGTCTTTTGCTAGAGACTCGTCTACATTGCTAGTAAAAACTCATTTCTCATTTTAAATAAAACCTAAAAACTAAGATAAAAAATTCTCAGACCTCGGCCATATACCTTTGCTGATATCTTCATGTGTTTTGAAGTTTGCCATATGTTTCCTCTATATTGTGTTGATAAAGCTGCTAATAAACAGAGTTAGTTTTGTTATGCTAGCATGTGTGGAAATGTGGTTTTAACCATGTGTGATACAAATAACTCCACATTAGTGCTCTGCTCACCTCTAATGCTTTTTGGTGACAGATAGTGTAGCTTTGACATCTACCAGACGGGAAAATGGGGCCATGCTAACTTACTACACTTTAGCGCTCGACAGCACAGCTGACGTCTTGTCGCCCTCTTGTGGTAGGAGCTGTCCAAACACTTTGATAAAAGTGACCCTGGCTATGAGGTGGTGGAAGATGCCATTATAACTATGACAGCAGTGGCCTGGTACATCAATGACATGAAGAGGAAGCAGGAACATGCAATCAGATTGCAGGTAATATCATATATTTTCTTGATAACTGTCTATGTAACTGATGTTTTGTAACTGTGAGATTACAATGTCTTGAATTCATTCATTCATTTTCTTTTTGGCTTAGTCCCTTTAGTAATCAGGGGTTGCCGACTTGCCACAGTGGAATACTGTATTTAATTCAAATGCTATTTTTTTGTGTTTTTAAATAGGAGATTGAGAGCTTGCTGCTGAACTGGACGGGTCCTGACCTCAGTGGTTTTGGAGAGCTGGTTCTTGAAGGTTCCTTCCGGGTTCAACGCGTGAAAAAGGAAAGAGCTTTCTTTCTTTTTGACAAAATGCTTCTTATTGCCAAGAAGAGGCTGGATCATTTCATATACAGTACTCACATATTTGTAAGTCACCATCATTTGTCATCTGATTTCGTACTGTTCTTTTAATGTCTACAAATAAACATTTCTCTTTCAGGATTTAGACAATGCAGGCTAATGTTTTTTCTCTCTTGTGTTTGTTTTAAGTGCTGTAATCTGCTCTTAGTGGAAAATATGAAGGATCCCCTCTGTTTTAAGGTGTCTGACCAAACAATCCCAAAACAACAACATGTTGTTCAGGTAAAATATTTTCTGAAGTACAGTCATTTGAAGTGCAATGATGTGTTCATTAATAATTAATAGTCAGGTACAAGGTTCAAGACACCCTGGAGTACTTTTTTTTTTTTTTTGCAATTGAGCATCAGTTAGGACAACATTAACACCTGTCAACTTTAATTGTGGGGAAAACTGGATAATTTTGAGCTTTTGTCAGCTAATGTCATCTTCCGGGTTTAAAATAATTTTTGGGCCCGGATCAAAATCGGTGACGTATCGTGAATCTGCTAGTGGAGTGATGGTATGTCAGTTACTCATTATTATTCATAACTGAGATTTCTTATCCTATGAAAAGACCCTGCTTCTTAATTATTAATGAGAGCATGTCCTTTCCAAAGGCAGACCTGCCAAGCTATGAGACCCAATGACTGGGGTACCGCACACGGCACGGGTTGTATGTGTTTGTTTCCATGATCCACAGGGTTTGTTGCATGGTATTCCCTGCAATTCTGTCGGCTGATACAGCAAAGCTGTTGGTTTGCAGCAAGCATTTTTGTTCAGAGAGCTGTACAAGAATTTGAGAATGGCGGACTTTGTTTTATCAGTTGTGTTTGTTACCATTCAGACACATCGCCTACATGTATATCTGTGCTGCTGTGTTCGCTTATGTTTAAAATCCTCCAGATTACCAGCAGTGCTAATGGTTGAAATAGACAGGGCAAGATATCTGCTGCACTGCTATCCACTGTGTCTGCATTCAGACCCAGGGATTGAGGAAGAGAGAAGTCCTCCTCATTTATAGTGTTTACATGACATGTAGCAGGACAATCATGCATCTCTACACAGTTTGTGTCTCATTTGTGAGCCAACTGACAACAGTTGTTCGTTTCCCTCTTCTCCCCCGCTCTACTGGCCACAGTCACTCCTTCCTCTGCACACAGAGCTCCATGCTCATCTTGGATTCTGTGGTATACTTAAACCGAAAGAGGGGAGTTTTGTGGGCCTTTAAACATTTATTTATTCATTTTCGTTTTGGCTTAGTCACTTTATTAATCTGGAGTTGCCATAGTGGAATAACCCACCAACTTGTCTAGCATATGTTTTACGTAGTGTATGCCCTTCCAGCTGCAACCGATCACTGGGAAACACCCATACACTTTCACTGACACACATACACCAAGGACAATTTAGCCTACCCAATTTACCTGTACCGCATATCTTTGGACTGTGGGGGAAACAGGAGCTCCCGGAGGAAACCCACATGAACGCGGGGAGAACATGCAAACTGCACAGAGAAATGGCAACTGACCCAGCCAAGGCTCAAACCAGTGACCTTTTTGCTGTGAGACAAGAGCACTACCCACTGTGCCACCGGCCTTCTGCACGCGCAGAAATCCACAGATTGTTTAGAAAATCATTGCATTTATTTATTTACTTGTAAATGTGTGTAAATTTATTTTAAGTAATATTATTTACTAATATGAAAATGTTGATTTGAATTACTGTATTTACAATACAGTTTGTAAAGTAATAATTTCTGTCTTTTAGTAGATATTTAATGAGAGACTTGCTTTGTTTAACAAATAAGTGGATCTAATTGGATTTGCATTTTAAACATTAAATAAAAGTTAAAAAGGTCATTTTTATGTCATATGTTAGGTTTTAAGTTATGATACTCCCAAAATCATTCATGTAAATTAGCAGATTTTATTTTTTATTTTTTATTTTTTTTTACAAAATGTATTAATGCAAAAAGCATACATTTTGGCTCAGACATGCATTTTTTATTTTACATTTAATTTTTATTTTAGTATTTCGCCCTCATTGCCTTTCATCATTGTTGTTCTCAATAAAGCTATGCAAATGTTTATTATTATTAATATTATTATTACAGAAGTGTTACTAATTAAAACATGTTTAAAAGTTGAAATAGATAACCTATAGTTGTAATTTACACTATTAGTTACTTTACTATATTGTAGGTTTATAAGGAATTAATCTATGAAGACACATTTAATGAATTATTCATATATTTATTACTAATTATTTATTCATATTGAACTATATTATTTGGGGCTAATGATTAAACAATGTTTTATTTCAACATTAAAGCAAGATTATCTGGGATTTGATTTAGCATAATTGAATGTATATCAGTGCACCAGTATTCTAAAGTATCACCAACATTTTATAAAACAACATTAAAAAGTGCATTGTCTGAAAAGCTGATACCTTGTTTATTTCTAGGCTAAAAACCAGGAGGAGAAGCGACTGTGGCTACATTACCTCAAGAGATTGATCGTAGAAAACCATCCTGCATCCTTGCCTCAAAAAGTAATAACAGTATTTAATGCATTACTGTGTAAAACTGCCCAACATTTCAAAGTGTGCACTCACAGCAATCATTAGTTCAGATATGCAAAGTTCACACGAGGACATTAGATCGCTAATTATTTGTATGTGTTTGCCAGGCGAGGCAGGTTCTTGGTGACAACTTCTGTCAGTGTAAGATTTCTTTGCATTCTTGTCATTTTAAATCATTGCTTGAGGCATTGAGTGTTTGTTTTAAATTCATGCTTTGTATGATACTTATAGCTCCACAGTTTGATCAGGAACCAATTAGAAAGCCAATGCCGTCACCACGACTGGATGATGTTCATAACTACCACAGAGGAAGAAGGCAATCAGGTCTGGCTTGTAGTGTTAATTAGGTACCTGAGAATGGCAAACAGAAATGATTTATTCACTCATGCAAGAATCTCTTAACAGAGCCACCAGAATTCATCTACACCCCTGAAAAAGCCAAGAAAAGCCTTCCCATGCTGTTAGAGGGTAACCTGCCATACAAACGTGGAAGAAGACAATCTGGTGAATAAAATTCAACTCTATAAATTGGCATAAAAATAAGTGTTTTGTGTTATATACTCAACTATATATACTTTGTACTTTTGTACTTTGATGCATTCTATTCCTAAAGATTAAAGTCTAAAATCTAATCTTTGTGTGCCTCAAGCGCCTGCCAAAGATATAGAAGCTGCATTTCAGCAAAGCGGTGAGTGTAAACTGAAATACTTTCACTTTCGATTATTTTGTTTTGTAGTGATGATGTTGCTTCAAAAGTGACTGAAAAAAAGCATAATTGAAACAGATTTATTGTCTTTTAAAAAGAAATTAAATTCATGTTTGTTTCTGCTCTTCTTTTCCTGACCCGTCATGGCTTCACTCTTCATGGGATCCAGGTTCTTTAAAGGTGTGAGAGAATTGCATTTTTTTTCTAACACACAGTGCTCAGCATATATTATTACACCCCTCACAAATCTATCTTTTAAATTCATATCTTTAATAAGAAACTATACAATATTATATTTGTGCATATACATTAGTCTGTACTGAAGCCAAATCTTGAGCTTATCTAACCAAATAACCTACGATAACTGTCCAAAAACTAGCACAACCAAATTTATATCATATATTTATTATCAAATCAAGAGAAGCAAAAATATTTAAAGATTTAGTTGAATTTTTTTAGGTTGTAATTTTGTTTGCAATATTTAGTTTGAATTTATTTGTATTATCTTTCAATTTCTAAATATGTTTGGTGACTAAAATATTATTTCAATAAATATATCTGTTTAATAAATCTGTTTTGTTTAAATACACCAAAACACATTGAATATATTTACTGAGAAATTGATTAACATATTAATTTTCAAAATGTGCTGTACTGAAGTTATGCTGAAGTCTGCAAATACATTATTCCTGCAACATAATGTAGTTTTGTAGCAACAAGGGTTTGTTTAATATCAGTAGCTATGTTTCCATCCAAAGATGTAGGACGATTAGGACGATTCTAAGGGCCTACGCATTTTGGGGGCCCTCAGAGATATTATTAGGGGCCCACCACCGCACAACCAAAATCTTTTTTTTTTTTTTGCATAAATAAACCTCAATCCTGAACAAAACTATTAAATTGACTAGAAAATTACAGGATTTTAACTCTTTAATTGCCAAATTCATAAATGATGTCACTGATTTGGTGGAAAAACATACAAAATGACGTATTTCCAATATAAAAAGTTATGGGGGATTGGATTTTTTTTTTTTTTCACTTTTTGTCAAAGACTTGGACGTGTGAAACAACATTGCCTTTGATGCATTGTTTTTGATTGAATTTCATTTTTTTTCTCCCTAATTTATTGTTGGTTACTGTTTTTGCCTTATTGACTTCTATTATAACTACTTTGTTTTTATTACAAAACCATGACGCCATATAATCAGACATTTTTTTTATTGTTGGTGGTTTTCCCTGATGGGAAGAGGGAAAATTTGTCATTTTAACTGTTGATCATCAGTTGGTACCATTAATCCTTTAGATAGGCCTGTGCAAAAAAAAAAAAGGGAAAAAAAGCTTAGTTTCTGCATTTTTACTGTGTATTTATGTACCATCAAATGTGGTTATAATGGAAGTCAATAGACTCATTTCACGCGGCCGCCGTTTTTAAAAGCAAAATCAAGGCTGCGGTGGGATGAAACCCGGAAGTATTGTTGGGAGTTACATGGAATGTTGTGAACCTGGCTGTATATGTTATCAGCGAAGAGAAAGTCACACAAACTTATTTTTCACCGCCTTCCGAGTGACCCGAAGGTCCATTCTGAATCAATGGAGAAAATATAAAGAATTACCTCATTTTCAGCTAAGTTAAGGGAAATGGCACTAGTTTGCTAACGTTTTCTTTCCCAAACACACGTTTTAGATGACATTTATCAAACTCAAGTTAATTAAAGGATTCTTTCACTATATGAGACTTGTCATGATACTGAATTAAAAAAAAAAAAACGTCAATTTGCCGCTAACATTTAAAGCACTGTTGATGGCTTTCTTAAAACAGAGCTGATTTGCCATTGCGTTCACATGCTCGACAGAAATGACTGATTGGCCGAGAAGGTCATCAGTTCACCCTCCGCTGTTTATCGAGTACAAACACAGACGAGCGACCTGAAGAGCGGTAAACTGATGAGTACTGGTAAATACTATTGTAAATCAGCGCTGTTTATGAACACGCTCAGCTGCGCTTGAATGTTAGTGGGAAATGGACATTTTTAAAACTTCAGTACCGGAACAACACTATTACAGACAACACGAGGATGTGCTACAGAGGACTGCATTGTTTTATCGCTCACTGGGTTACATAGGTTAAAGCAGGAAAGCGTGATTTTTACCTGGTGGCATGAACTGAAGTCTTGGAGAACACTTGAACATATTAATCTTACAGAGATTGATATGTTGTTTGATGCTAAATTGCTTTTAATTGTTTAAATTAAACTTACTGAATGATATTAAAGTGATGTTTACATCATTTCTGCATTTTGAAATTCCGGGTTTCTTCCCACCGCAACCTCGCTTTGGTTCTTTAAAATGGCGGCCGCATAAAATAAGATAATAACATTAAATTAGGGAGAAAAAGTATAATGTAACAATGCATAAAAGCCAATGTTGTTACTAATCATTCACATGTCCAAGACTGTGATAAAAGGTTAAAAAAAATCCAGTTCACAACTACTTTTGATATTGAAAATACATCATTTTGTGTGTGTTTTTCCCCCTGTAATTTTCTAAGCTATTAAGTAATTTAGTAGTAGACCAGGACTGATGTTGATTAACAGACTTACTCAAAAAAAAAAAATTTAATAAAAAATGATGTGATGCATTTTTATGGATGGAAACATAGATAATATCACAGCCATGTATGTTACTCAAGGGTCTACAGTGACCTTACATTTTTTATGAACACTTATTTTCATTTAGAGTTCTCAAGCTGGCAGTGAAGGAGAATTGTGCCCACAGGCTGATAGTATGGGCTCTTCAGGCAGTACCAGTACTCTGGCTTCCTCAGTCATTGAAGTTGAATCTGGACGTGATGATCTGGCCTTATGTCAAGATGAAGATGATATGACACCACTCCCTCCACCACCAACACTGTCTATTACTGAAGAAATCATGGAATTCATTAACCAGAGCCGTGCTCGGCAGGGCATGACAGAGTTGACATCTGATAGGGTAAGTATAACACATTATGAAACACATTATGAAACACGTTATAAAACCTCAAACAACATCCAGAGACTGTAATTGCTTAAGTATTTCAGAACAATGTTTTTTTTTTGCTATTCGTAAACATAATTTACAGCAGTGATTTTGTAGCAATATTGCTGTTCATTTCTTAAGGTACCCATCTAAAATAAAGTGTTTTCAATTGTTTTACTTCTAGTGTCAGTTGATTCCAGAGACCTTAGAAGTTCAGCCATTGGAAGGACAGGAGTCAGAGGAATCCAAACCACTTATAGCTGAGATGGATGAAAATACACATGCGATCATTAATGTCCAAAGATCCGATGCAGAGAAAACTGAATCAGTTCAAGACGAGGACAGCCATCCATCCTGTGAAGAAAATATTTCTCAACCAAATGAGCCAAAGGGAGTATCACCAACTCTGCATGTCTCTACTGAGGAAAATCAATTAGAAGAGCTGACATTCCAAGAGGCCAGTTGTGGTGAATCATGCAAATCAGAGACCTTAAGTGAAGGAGAGAAAGATAATGAGAACTCTGTTAGTAAAAGTGAAAATAAATCAGCTAAATCTGCAAATGAGACAGCATGTGAGGCCAATTCACATTGTCCTCTTATTGATACTTCAGAGAAAGAATCTGAAAGCTCTCCCAAAATAGAACCTGAGCAAAAACTGACCAAAAGTGACAAGCAGATTATTGAGAAGATTCGCAGCTATTATGAGGCAGCGGAGACAGGAGTTGAGGAAGGTCAGTCTACACGAAGAAACAGCTTTTCTCATATTCCTGCAGGATTAGTGAAGGATTCTGTAACACGATTCAATGTTTGTGTTCGTCAGGACAGTTTGTTTGAGTCTGAGAGTGGCCGCTCAGACACTGTTGACACTGACTCAGCATTTTTAATACTCCCTGTATCTGACCAAGCTGACCAGACTTTCAGCCATCAGGAATCTGTTGATGCAGACATTCCTCCCTCACATTCAGATGCTGACCATCAAGTGGAAGAAATTGACGGCAAGACCTCAATGAAAAAGGATGAAGATGTTTGTGATTTCAGTATGAAACTGTGGAAGGAGAATGAAAAGACTGGCCAAGAGTCTCCAAGCAGTCCGAAAGTCCCCATCTCAAGAGAGAACAGCTGTGGTGAACATACAGATGCTCCTGAGAAATTGTCCGTAAATTGCATAACAACCCAAGTACAGCATAAACAATCGGAGAGTTTACAATGTGATCCAGACGCACCAGACAAATCTAATCTGCAGGCCACAGAGACAGCAGATGCATCACTTCAATGTGCAAGTAAAACTAGATCTAGGATGTCTTCTAATGTAAGCCTGGATAGCCTTCCCATTCAGATTAAAGTTGGCAGATGGTCTCGTCATGGCAAGGTGGTTACATGTAGCCAAACCCTTTATGAAGGAATGGCCGAGGTACCAGATTTAGGATTTTTTGAGAGTGGACCAGTCAATCAGTGCTTGGTGGAAAACTCAGAAAAGATTTTAAATAAAGTGCAAATGCTTGCACGCATGTACACTGCCAAGGCGAGCAGCATGAAGGTACCGCTGCATCAGAAAAAAACACGAGTGAGTAGGGGAGCATGGTCAATGGATGGAAAAGGGAGCACTTCACCTAAACCTCAGCAAGTAAAGCTGCACCAGGGGGATATGAGGATAAGCCAGTCTGAAGGTGAGTTCTGAATTTAAACAGAGTTCATTACCTTGCTTGGAGGAAAAATATTTCAATGTTTTTTAATGCTGTCTTTGGTTTTGTTGCAGAAGAATCTTTGGAAACTACACCTACTGAGCCTTTTGGTCATATAATTTTAAGGGAGAAGCTGTCTACAACTTATCACCAAGAAAATGATTGCAATCTTATTGGCCCGCTAGATGAGATTTCAGAAACTGGATCTAATTCACTGTCTTTTTCTTCTGCTGATTCCTCTTTCACTTCGGCTCAAATACTAGCAACTGTTACAGAATCAAAGGTCTCTGTGATATCAGACCATACAGACAGGTCATTAGAAATGACAGAGTCGAAACTACATGAAAAAGAACAATCCGTACCACTTCCAGTTTACTCTGGAACACCAGTCCAAGCTGAGTCAGTAGTCCCATCCAAAATCTGTGGGTTGCCATTGGTTGAGCATGCTAGCAGTGTACTACAGTCCATTCAGGAGAACCATTTAGATGTTGGGGACAAATTAAATACAGTATATAGAATTGCAGAAAGACAGGTATTGCAAGAGGATAAACCTGCTTTTGTAAACAATTATTGTCCAATTAGTGATGTTTTTATTGACCCACTAGTCAATAAACATGTAACTAAAGAGACTCACAGTGAGGAGAAAAAAGACTCTGTTGTACAGCACTGTGAAAGTATATTGTCTATAGATGATGAACGAGATGAAATGGATAAAGGACATTTGAAATCCAACCAGTCTGATACTGAAATGACTAACATGGAGGAACTAACACATATAGTGTCCTCCGTTAGTGATGAAAGCACATATCCTCCATTACACTTAGCAGCCTCCTTAAAAAACAGTGTTCCATCCACTTTGATAATCTCTGAGGAATCAAAACCTTTGGCCCAGGTGCAGGATTTAACTAGCCCTACGCATCTGGTGACTCTGCTTGGTTCATGTAGCAAGTGTAGTCCACAGGAAGATAAATCTAAAGAAGACATTAATTCAATGACTTTGAGCCCATGCTCAACCCCACTTGGTAGACCTCTTTTAGATGAGCTACCAAGGTTTACAAATCAAAGACCCTCCAATCTGCCTTCCACCACAGGAACGAGAAGTCCCTTCAAAAATTGGAATTCATCATCTCCAGTTGCTCAAAGGTACTGCATATCACAAACCAAGTTTTAGTTTTAGGTCTTGTAATATATAGGTCATACGGTTTTTAATCTGTTTAATTTGTCTTATCTTGCTTTTCAGAGTGCCACACACTTCACTGCGAACAGAGGATCACACTCAAGATATTACTTCTTATGGCCTTTCTCCTCACAAGCAGTCTTCATCCCAGGCTTTTAATGATAAGTCTTCAATCACTCCCTTGGGTGGTGAACATAAATTAGATACAAAACCACCCTCTGCCTTTAGTCCAAGTCTCCGAATGAGGTCACCCTCTCCAATTAGAGGTACACAGAGCTCCAGACCTACTTCAACAACCTCAGCTCTTACAAAGTCTCTTGCTGCCTCCTGCATCAGTCAGACGATTTCTCAAAGCATGGCCAAGAGAGGTGCACATATTCAGACTGTGTCCCAACCTGTAAGATCCTCTCCTCTACCCACATCTTCCGTAAGATTACGGACGCCATCACCAAAACCCATCACCTTGGACTCAAATGTAGAGTCAGGATTTAGGGCAATATCCAGCCCTGGGGTAGGAAGTCAACCCCCAAGGTCTTGTCCATCCCCATTCAGATCCAACAGTCTTCGATCTAGTCCAGCAACAGTCCAGTCCCCTCCTCCTTATCGTAGCCAAAGGTCAATATCTCCAGCACCTCCAGTTAGCCTCCATTCAACTCCATCTGTTAACAGCCCAACCTCCACTGCTCTTGAACAACCTTCGTTCAGCAGTTTAAATTGTAATAATAACAATAATAACAGCTTAAGTAATAATGGGTGGGTCGCTAATAACAAAAAAACAGCACCATCAGCTGTAAGTGGACTCCCTCATTTCCATGATTCCCAGCGAACAACCTCACACAATAGGGTGGCTCGTCCTTTCCCATCGTCTGAGCCTAGTTCCCGTGTACAGTCCCCTTCCATTTGCCTCCAATCTCCAATCACCCGAATCTGCTCTCCTCCACCTGCTCCCAACCATTCCAGTCATCTGGTAACAAAGCCACCCAACCCCAGAGCATCCAGACAAGGTGGCTACTTTACACCTTTATCTTTGGAAATTTCAAGATCAACATCAGCTTGTTCAATATCTCCTTGCGGGAGTCCCAGAATCACCTCTCCTCCCCCTATTGGCATTCCTACAAATGTTTGGGGCTATGCTAATCCACAACCAAGGAATCCATTAGTAACAAGTGCATCGTCTCATACAAAATTGGAAACAAACTCTACTCCAAGAGGCTCTAGAATCATCTCGCCCACCCCAACAGGATCATCATCCTATTCAGCCAACTCTCAGAGTCAGAGGAGGTTACGAGGAACCAGTTTGCCCTTTGTTGTGATAGGGGATAGCCTTCCAAGTCCAACTAGACACGAACGCAGATCTTGGGCTGAAAGTGGACGGTGGTCAGTGGGTTCAGATCTAGGTTTAATAAGTCCTCGTGGGGGTTCATACAGTGGTAGCCCGTCTTCTGTTAGCCCTGGTCCTCTTTCACCAGTCAGACTAACAGCCGAAAGGACAAGTGGAAAACACTTTACAGGCATTTCCTGGCCAGATGTACACGATCTCTTGATTAAATACACAGAGCCCAATACTGAAGCAAATGCTTTATCCTGCACCGAGATAGAGCCAGGTGACATGGACGGTACAGAACCTACATGTCGGAGTACCCTTATTTGTCCATATGTTGCTCCAGCCAGCCCCATTGAGAGAGACACTCCCATTCAGTGCCAGACCGAGGCTAAAACAGAAGACTGTGTTCCTAATCAAGGGTCTAAAACAACATTAAAGACCAGTTATGCCACCACTGTCAATTTGCAGATTGCTGGGAGTGGGAGGATTGCATCCTTTAGCAATGCACAAGTCAGCCTGACTCAAACTCTGACCCCTGTGGCAGACAGTCAGAGCAGGAGAAGAGTCAGCATCAACAGCTGCAACTTCTCTATGCAGAACTGCAAAAGGCTTTGAGTGATGTAATTCTGAGGTCTAGCATGGTGCCTCATTTTTCAAGACACTTTATCTGGCACTTTAGCATGTAGCAGAGGAGTCAGCTTGGAGATTAAGGTCCCCTTCACTCCGATGAACAAAATTAACAGATGATAAAATACGGGTGTCAGTTAGTACTATGGTCAGTCATGTCATTTAATTATTGTATTTTTTAACCTTCATCCCTAATTCCTGGCAAAGATGCCAGTAAAACATCCATGAATTGACTTTGTTATGTTTAGGTTTTGCTTTTAAGACTCTGTAATATGCAAATGTATTATATATAATTGAACTAAAGCCTCTCTCATTAAAGGCTTTCAGTTGGCTTTGATATATAAAGAACTTATTTATGAAGTAGTGGTTTTTAAGGCACTTAACTCCTTGTTTTTCTTTGTTTTGCACATTTTACTCGAGTGTGGTTCAGACGTGTCTGGAAAACAGTGTGTTTCAGACAAAACATAATTTTTTATTGCCAGTGTTTATAAGGATTTAGTTAATAAAACAAGGGAGCATGAATTGCTGCTTTGAATGATATTAATACAAACATCAAAACATCTGATTTGATATTCTGCTTTGAAGAAAATGTTTGCTGCACGTTGAAAAAGCATTCCTTCAAGCAAACAAAAAACAAAGGTAATGCTGATCAAATGAACTCTTTGTGTTTGGATTTTTAGTGTATTTTTAATGTAATATATTTCTGATTTCTGTTAATTTTCACAATCAGTTAATGCTTAAGCCAGTTAAATGTATATCTCAGATTTGTGCCTTTATGTTCCGCACACTGCCTGCCACACGTGCAAAGAAAACAAATGTTAAAAGTCTGCTATCTGTACTTAATCTCAAAAAATGTTATGATTGTCACACTGTATGGACAATGTGCCCTTTGTTACTCGTATCTTAATAAAATCTGTGTAATATTATTATAATTGTGCCACAAGTTTATTAAAGTAAGATAAAACAGCTGAAAACTAGTCTATTTATTAAATTATATTTAGAGTTTATGGGTGTATGAGACCATGTGCAAATGAAGCATTGCATGAGGTGAAAATGTATGTTGCAAATATATAACAATGACCTAAAGGTAAGGAATTCATTCATTAAAACTGAAAAAAGACATCATAATAAATCCTACAGAAAGCCAAGCTGTTTTTTACAGATGAATAAAAGAACATAAAAACATGCAGTCAGTGGCACTGTATACAGTAATATCAATCAGCAGGCTATTTCACATCTAGGCAAAGCTTTTTTTTTGCGAACAGCAATAGGTCTAATTATTTTACACTTTGGGACTAGTTGTGTTAATTTGTTTTTATATTAAACTTACAATGTCCTTTTCTCACACACTTGATTGTGAAACATTTATATAACCATTGGCATTTTTAAGGAAACATGTAATGAAAGCTTTTATGTGTCTGAGACCAGAGTAGGAGGAAACTTGGCCTATTTTTTTGGCTCATTGTTAGAAAAGCCATTTCATGTTAAGAAGGAGAGTATTAATATTCTCTAAAGTCCAGGCTGTCTAACTGTCAAGTCAAGAACAAATGTTCTTTCACTATTGTTAATAATGTCCATTCATCGATTTCAGTGTGAAGCCAGATCAGCCTCAAACTGATACAAATGCAAAATACAATTCATAGATCCATGACAAAAATCACAAAATCTCATTTCTAAATTCAAAACACGATTTATAAACATACAAGTCCAATTTGTAAAGACAAAACACCATTCATAAATACACAAATTCAATTTGTAAAGACAAAACACAATTCATATACTCACAAATCCATATCATGAATTCAAAACACCATTCATATTCGTAAATTCAAAAATATACAAATCCAGTTCATTTAGTAAAAATATGAATGATTTGTACTTGTGAATTCATGAATTGTGTTTACAAATTGGATATTGTAAATGTGAATTGTGCTGTACATGTTTGAATTTCATTTTATTAATGTATTATTTTTGAGACTGATCTGGCTCCATTTTTCTGGCCTTAAATTATGTTTGATTATGTTACGAAATTTTGTATAATGCAAAAATTGCTATTTATTTTTCTTAAATTATTTATTTAACGTTTTATAAGTGCTAATTGCGTCAGATTGTTCAGCATGTAAATGTAACAGGGATTTTGTAGCAAATATATAGTTCAAGATCTATTAAGTAAATGCATCAATTTGAAGCAAGCCAGTATGTTCTCTAAATGTATATTTATATGAAGACGGTGGGCTTGGAACACTTAAAATTTTGACATTTTTGCAGTGCTGACCTTAATGCTTCCTGGGTTTTTAATTCATTTTACAAAATGAAATAACTTACGACATTGAGGTGTGATGCTGCACCTATAACACTGAAATATTAAAATAGCTTTTACTAGTCTAATTGTCACGGAATATTGTGTTGCGTAGATGTATTTGGAAAACTGCATGACGCACTGACCGTCTCAGCGTATTGTCAAAAGCTTTTTCCATGTTGTCAAAATCAACACGCTGTGATGTGGTTTCATTTTCGCAGGATTAAATGCAGATGTCTGTGTGACTCACTGTCAGAAACAGACCAGCCCAACACGCGGCGGTAGCCTATATAAGAACAATACAGAGCGTTGTCAAATTTGACTACCTTGCGGTGCTCATGAAGACAATGCGTAGCCTACAGTTATTCATGTGACCTCAACAATGAGCGGGTGACGACTCGGCTTTCGATAGTTTATTGTAGCATTGTTTTGTTTTTAACCAGCGTTTCCTTGGAATTGGGTCCGATGAAAAAGCGTTGATTTATGCAGCATGATTAGGCTATACTTGAACATGCAGTTCTACCAACGGATTTGTTCAAATATTTACACCAGAAATGTTTGATGAGGTAAGTCGCTGCTACTGTTTAAATACATTTGTTAACAGCCTGCCTTCAGTTTACGTGTTTGGACATCTACGTTATTTAAAAGGATAGTTTACCCAATAACAATAATAAAGACTGTTTAGACTCACCTTTTTCAAAACCCCTCGAATTTCTTTCTTCTGGTGAGCTCACATTTTAAGCTAGGCTATGTTGGAAAGTATTTTACTACTAGACTAATGTCAAAGGCTGTTTCCACCAGTCTTCAGATATATTCTTTTGTGTTCAACAGAAAAAGTAAATGCATAGAGGTTTGAACCACTATATACTGTAAATAGAGTATAACTTTGGGTTGAACTACACCCTTAAGCATGGGTCAAAGTTTGATTTGATACATATCCTTCTTATAAAGGTAACGTTAAATCAGTAGCAAACCTCTAGAGCTTTCAAATCTAAATGTGTGAACTTCAGGTTAAAATAATATTTGTACTTGAAGCTGCTTGCTATAGTAAAAACTATACATTTCGGAAGTACTCACATTGACTGAAGATTAGCTTGGTTTGTCGGTCATCAAATCTAAGATTATCATTTATCCCTAAATCGAGGCTGAAATGCAGGGCTGACAGTACTTTCACAGTAGCTGGTCCTAGATTGTGGATTGCTCTGCCCCTCTGTATTAGATCTATATAATCTCTGTCTGTTTTTAAAACAAACTAGGTTGTTTTTAAAACTTACCTTTTTGATTTTGGCATTTTATCGGTGAGAATTGTTGTTTAGCTATAGTTTTTATCTTTCTCTTTGTGATTTGCATCGTGCAGCACATTGGTCAATCTTTGGTTGTGTTTAGTAGTGCCATATAGGGCTGGACGATTTGGCCTAAAATCAAAACCGATTAATCGAACAATTTAACTTGATTACGATTATTGGACGATTATTTATTTATTTATTAGTTTGTTTTTTGCCCTTATATAGTTCACTGATTAGTTTTGTGCAGTAAATATGCTCACATATTACAAGTGAAAGATTTTTGAATGAAGGGTGCATTACTTTATTTTAAAATACATGACTCCACAGGAAGGTAAATTAATAAAAAAAAATTACCTGAAAAAAAAAGATTGATTATTGGTTCTGAATGTTGATTTCAATTACTTTGATTAATAGCCTAGCCTTAGTGCTATATAAATAAAATTGACATTGACATAAACCTGCAACTAGGCATTGGACGACACCCGTTTTCAAGGTATACCTGCGGTTTCGAAAAGTCAAGGTTTTAAAACCGCCAAAATTTTCTGTTATACCGTTCCAAAGGTATAATTAAGATTTATAACTATAAAGTTATCTGTGTTTTAGATCTGTTGTCTAATGAAGACAGCAGAAGTCAATGATTTATTTTAATTAAGTAGCTAGACATGTTTACTGCTTCAAATTATTTTAAATGCTTCTCAAAATAAAATATATTGTGTTCAAAGGGGAAAAAGTTATTTGAAATTTGAAATGAATATATTTTAGAGCAGCAATCATGATATTTTTATTCAAGGTTATCATACTGTCAAAATCTTATACTCATGTCTACCTGCAACAACTAAACCTAAACCTAAACATCGTCCTAATTTTAACCACGTGGAGTTTAACCACGTTTGCTCTGTAGGATGCCATAAAATAAAAGCAAAATAAACAGCAAAAAAAAAAAAAGTTTGTTACTATAACAAATGTTTTTATTTCTTGTGGTTAAAAAAAGCAAAATGGCAGTATTTTTATTTGAAATATGGAGAATATTATCACAAAATATTTTATGAAAAAGCATCTATTAAATTCAGTAAAGGGATAATTTACCTACAATAAAATTGCACTCAACTATTTACTCACCCTCAAGTGGTTCCAAACTTTTATGAGTTTCATTGTTCATTGTGTTGAACAAAATACGCTATTTAGAAGAAAGCTGAAAACCTGCAACTATTATTGTCTGTAGTTTTTGTTTTTCTTCCTGTGAAAGTCAGTGGTTACAGGTTTTCAGCTTTCTTCAAAACATCTCAATTTGTGTTCAACAGAAAAAAGAACGTGAAAAAGGTTTGAAACATTGGTGAGTCAATATCTACGTTTACATGGACATCAACAATCAAATCATTTGCCTTAATCTAATTAAGACAATAATATGATTAGGTGTTAACAAGAGTTGCATTTTGAATGTTCCTTTCATGATTCTGTTTTACATGTTATAGCACATAATTTGATTAAGATCATTGCGTCACCATACTATCCACATGTCCTCCGGAGTTTTTATTTAATTTTGGGTGTTTAATTTTTAATTTGTTGACTTTAATTGCAGTTTGGCACTTTCATTCAGGAACATTTTATGCATGCCCCTGTGACAAATGAGATTGGATACGAGTATGAACTGCCGGAAGAGTGTTGTTTTAATAGAATTTCATACAGCATGCTGAATGGGGAAAAAAAAACTTGCAGTTCAATTTCGTGGTGTATGTGTCTGTGGTTCTACTGACATGACGGTAATAGTTTGATTGCGGTGTTTACATGTTTGTACTGCACTTCAATAATGCGACTAAAATTGGCATACTCCACATGTCTCCATTTGATTTTTCTTTACTTCGGTTATGACCTTAATCTGATTAAATTAACCAAAATTGCTGTTTACATGGTAGATTCTTAATATAGTATTGTCTTTATCAAATTAAAATTGGATTATTGGTGTCCATGTAAACATACTCATTGGTTATAATTTGAATGAACTTCCCCTTATAATTTATTGAGTTTTGTTTTTCAAAGCACAATCCTCTTCAATCAGCATTTGTTTTATCTTGTTTTTATCTTGTTTAACTTTATCTTGTTCTTTAGGCTTACGAGTAGTTTGTGTCTTCAGCCATGTGCTCCACTGTCTACCTACTAAAGTCCAAACCACAGCGAGAGGGAAATGTAGCCCCTCAGAGCGCCCCATCTCTTCCTAGGCCTGATGACAAATCTGCTGTTGAGGGAGAGCTGGACATTTGATATGAGGACAGATTTACTCTACTATTCCATGCTTTGCACGTCATTATCTCTGTATCTGCTGATAATGTTGACAAGACAGATCAAGAGCCAGTCAGTGTGCAGCAGAGAGAGTGTGGAAATGGTGAAACAG